CATTTGATATACTACAGAATTTGGTACCGTGTTTGGTTATTGGTCGACAGGATGATGGGGACGACTTTGCAGTCGGGGGTCTTAGGTCCTGTGGTCCTATTTCCCGAGAGTGTATCGGGTCTACATGGTAGTGCTGATATGGAGCTGGAAATTGATTCCGTTTACGGTCTGCCGCGTTGAGGGGCTGCCATGGTGGGACACCGATGTGACAGTCTAAGGGCGCTGCCGTCTTTTCTATAAAGTATTTTAGTACCCAGGCATCCTTGATCCGTGTGTTATGGTGGGCTGGGGAGGCGTTCCAGGGGCGGTTGGCTTTGCAAAGATCAGAGTGCAGAGCTCTGGGTGTAGGCGAGGGCTCAGGGTCCCTTGCTGTAAGTATGCCTGAGTCGTCTGGGGGCAAGTAGTGTTTTCCAGTCGTTGTATAGCTGCCAGCTAGTGGATTGCCGACCATTGGGGACAGAAAGATTCCGCTGATGTGCGAACTCGAGCTGCCTAGCCATTGCCATTGTTTCAGAGGATTCATATTAGAGCCTATCCCACGCGCTTGATTATTCTGGCATATCAGTATGCCGGTGTCTTGTTCGCCCAGCATATTGGTTCGGGGGGATCTGTCACGGAGTTCCTGTGGTGCGGTTGTTTTCACAAGGCTAACCGATCTTGGTTGCGCTATGTTACCCATAGACATCGGCCTGGGGTCAAGCAATGGTGCGTAGAGCAGGCCGGTCCGAACCGAGCCCTTAAGCTCATCCATTGCCCCCTCCTCAGTCATGGAGCGGCCATCGGCGCCCAAAAGAAACACGGTTAGAGCAAGCAATACGATCGATTGCATAGTTGCCTGCAAACCGTGCTTACCGCGAAGTGCCCAACTTACTTTTGCTCCCCCAGAGCGGCTTGACTAGGCGCATAGTTGTAATTGTCTTTAAACTTTTGTTATTTTGCCAGCTTCAGCACTCTGCCGGGTAATGGATATGCTTTGACTTTTCTCGTGTAACATAATCCAACAGCTGCAGGCAGATAGCTAGAGTGCATCACCACACACCTCGCTGGACGGCAGGAAGCAGGTTATCATGGTGTTCGGCAAGGTTGGCAAGGCTGGCAGGCTGGCAAGCTTGCAAGGCTGTCAAGGCTGTCAAGGCTGTCAAGGCTGTCAAGGCTGTCAAGACTGTCAAGACTGTCAAGACTGTCAAGGCTGTCAAGGCTGTCAAGGCTGTCAAGGCTGTCAAGGCTGTCAAGGCTGTCAAGGCTGTCAATATTGTCAGGTTGGCAAGGCTGTCAAGGCTGTCAGGTTGGCAAGAATGGCAAGAATGGCAAGAATGGCAAGAATGGCAAGAATGGCAAGGCTGGCAGGCTGGCAGGCTGGCAGGCTGGCAGGCTGGCAGGCTGGCAGGCTGGCAGGCTGGCAGGCTGGCAGGCTGGCAGGCTGGCAGGCTGGCAGGCTGGCAGGCTGACAGGCTGACAGGCTGGCAAGGTTGGCAAGTTGGGCAAGTTGGGCAGGCTGGCAGGCTGGCAAGGCCAGCAAGGCTGTCAAGACTGTCAAGGCTGTCAAGGCTGTCAAGGCTGTCAAGGCTGTCAAGGCTGTCAAGGCTGTCAAGGCAGTCAAGGCTGTCAAGGCTGTCAAGGCTGTCAATATTGTAAGGTTGGCAAGGCTGTCAAGGCTGTCAGGTTGGCAAGAATGGCAGGCTGGCAGGCTGGCAGGCTGGCAAGCTGGCAGGCTGGCAGGCTGGCAGGCTGGCAGGCTGGCAGGCAGGCAGGCTGGCAGGCTGGCAGGCTGGCAGGCTGGCAGGCTGGCAGGCTGGCAAGGTTGGCAAGTTGGGCAGGCTGGCAGGCTGGCAATGTTGTCAAGGCTGACAAGGCTGGCAATGCTGTCAAGGTTGGCAAGAATGGCATGGCTTACAGGCTGGCAGGCTGGCAGGTTGGCAGGCAAGCAGGCTGGTAAGCTGGCAGGCTGGCATGATGATGGGTGATCTTGAAAATGGGTTACCTGGCAAGCGAAAAAGCAGGTGACCAGCAAGTTAACCATGGTTTAAACATGAAACATGTCTCTTATAAACATTTTTATATCATGTATCTAAAAAGAAGTCATTTGTAACTCAAATTGTAGAAATAATGAGTGCCTAGTTAAGACAAGATCTCCATTTTGGCCCATAACTTTTTCGGTACCCCTCAAACAGGTACTTTTGAAATCACCAACTGATGTATTTTTCAAAGATATATATAGATATGTCTTTTTTACCCCCACACCAATCCTCATTTTTGAGAAAAATGTCTTTTAAGCCTTATATTGGCCATAACTTTCCAAATACCCCCTGCTATGACCATCATTAATAGCATAAACAGATTTAACGTGAAAAATGTGATCGATTGACCCCCCTATCAAGGGTATCTGCTTCCGGGCATAGCCTTCCAGAAGGGGTAAATTAATGCCTAGTTAAGACAGGGCCTCCATTTTTGGCCCATAACTTTTCTGGTAGCCATGAAACAGGTATTTTTGAAATCACCCATGGATGTAGTTTTCAATGACATATATCGATATGTCTTTTTTTACCCCCAGACCGACCCTCATTTTTGAGAAAAATGGGTTTTAAGCCTTATTTTGGCCATAACTTTCCAAATACCCCATGGTATGGCCATATTTGATAGCATAAATGGATTATACGTGAAAAATGTGATCGATTGACCCCCCTACCAAGGGCGTCTGCTTCCTGGCATATCCTTCCAAAAGGGGTAAAACCCTAAAACCCTAAAACCCTAAAACCCTAAAACCCTAAAAACCCTAAACCCTAAAACCCTAAAACCCTAAAACCCTAAAACCCTAAAACCCTAAAACCCTGAGTTTGAAACCCTAAACCAGGAACCCGCGAAACCCTAGAGTTTGAAACCCTAAACCAGGAACCCGCGAAACCCTAAAGCTAGGAATCTGGACTCCCAAAAACCCGAAATCCCAAAACCCTTAAAAATAGATACCCCCAACCCTAACCCCCTTCCCCCAAACCCTGCCACAACCCTAACCTAGGTAATAATAGCGCCTACAAGATTGGGGCATCATTTCGGGGTGCTGTTGCATGCCTGTGCAGTGTAATGCATTCTCCCTAGCAAACACTACCGCTCAACATCACAACGATGGCGCATGTAATGTGGCAAAACGGATCGTCACCATTTTTCGTTGACAGGCTTGATGTTCCTTGACGTTGAATGCAAAATCAATTTTTCTGTGGTGTTCTGTGCCCCGACCCTCCCAACCCTCCCAACCCCGATTCCCCGACCCTCCCTAACCCCCATAGCCT